TTCGGACATCCACAACTTAAAGGTGAGTTTTAACATGGCTTGCGTTTTGAGAGGGTTCAGTCCATAGTCAGCAAGTTCCAACACAAAGCATTATGGTGGAAGGGTATAGGGGAGTTCAGTTCATGGTGGCCAGGAAGCAGGGCAAGGGACCAGTGCTAGAGGGGAAGGGGTCAGGGACAGATACAGACCCAAGGTCACACCTCCACAACCCAATGACACACACAGAAATGTACCAATCAATCCCCTGGGTAAATCTCAAAGCAAGCCAACCAACCTGACCTTCCATCCTAATGTCCCCATAGCTTGGATTTTTTTTTTAAGGTGAAGATTTGCTTGCAGATACAAGTTACTTTCATTAAATAATACAGTATAACATGACCTCTTGAACCTTTTGCAGAACAACAGAACTATCACTAGCAATATAGTAGTGGCACTGCTGAAAATTTTTTTCCAAAAATAGTTTTGGTAAGCAATTAAGTCTGTCAGGGGATGCACTGAGCACGGACTGTTTTTCCTATTTTGATAAACTGTGTCCTGGCACAGAATTCCAGCTTTGAGTAATAAACTCCCTAATTGTTGTGTTGTATGCTGTGAGATGAGCTGAGGGTTCCCATTTCTTGCTTTAGGGATGGGCATCTGACTCAAAGCCATTTAGAACACCTCCAACCCTGGACTTCAGAAGCTAGCTGGACAAATGGGTATGCAACCCTACAAACTCCATGACTTAAGGAGGTCTTTGCTGCAACAATGGGGAAAGGGTTTGCAGTCTCCCTTGATAAATCTGACCTGGGAGACTGCAGGTCCCAGCACGACTGTGACCCACTATGAAGCCAGAGAAGGGAATCAACAAGGAGAGGACAAAAAAAAAAAAAAAAAAAAAAAAAGAAAAGAAAAGAAAAAACAAGGAGAGAACAATCCGGAAAGAGTGAAACTCAGATGTTGATGTTCCGGAGTAGAACACAGCTGAAGTAGCAAGCTTTTTAGCAGTCTTGCCCATACAGCCAGAATCTATAAACACTCAGTTGTTAAGCAGGTGATACACACATAAGACAGCCCCAATCTTCACTCTGGCCCTGACTTGATTGATTGCAGGGTATAAGAAACGAGACACTCACTATGTTCCAAGTACCAATATTACCTAATAAAAGTCTAAGAACAAGTGCAGGAAGCAGTAAATTCCTTTGGTAAAGGTGCAACAGGAAGCCAGAGCTCCAGAGCACAGGCCACACAACCACCCCAGGCCTCCTAAGTGGGCAGCTCCTCAACATTTTGCCCCTGAATCCTTTTACTTACATGAAACTGATCAAGTGGGGTTAGATTCTTGACTTGTGGAGTAGCATGGGGCCCTAAAACCCGCTTTCTTATACCCTGCAATCATCTAAGAAATCCCTAGGGCAGTGAGCTTCCAAGATGCAAACTGCACTGTGGCACATGAACCCTAGGTTTGCCACCACTGCCCTAGGACTTAAAAATACTTTCCATAGTGCTGCGCAGAGCACATTAAGGATGGATGAAGAAGCTGTGTGTGTGTGTGTGTGTGTGTGTGTGTGTGTACTTTTTTTTCTTTTGTGACAGGGTCTCACTATGTAGCTCAGGCTGGTCTTGAGCTCACTATGTAGCCCAGATCTTCCTGCCTCAGCTTTCTGAGTGCTGACATTACAGACATGCACCAACACACCCAGTCCTTCTATATGTAGATATGGAATAATCTTCAAATACACTAGAAAGAAAAAGGTAGGGTGGGGCACAGTTCAGGCTCAGGCCAGAAAGGACCAATCCCTGGATTTGATCCCTGGGTTTCAATCTCTCTCTCTCTCCGTCACTCTCTTTCTCTCTCTGTCTCTCTCTCTCACACAGACACACACACAGACACACACACATAGAAGCAAGTATAGAATAGTGTGTACAATGTGCTGTCTTTGTCTTATTAAAAAATGGCAGCCAAGAAGTGCCCAAAGAGTTTTGAATATGTATCTTTTTGCACATTTTACTTTAGCCACATGAATGTAATTATTAAAATAAGAAGGAAACTACTGCACTGGTGGAGGGTACCTCAAAGCAAGACTGGTGGCCACTGGGAGCCTGGTGTTTCTCCAAGGGCTGAGATCTGATCCTGGATGTGTCAGTCCTCTACCTCACAGACATTTATCTCAAACATTTAATAAAAGCTAAGTGTCACTCAAAGCCAGCATTAACACCATTCTCCACCTGCACCTCCACCAGGGAGGTCTGCTCTGTAACACAGGTGTCCCTAGCGGGAGCTTCCTCCTCAGGGAAGCCACCACTCGACATGGTGACCAAGAGCTGTGTTGTGCCAGGCCTGCATAAGCACTGGAAACAAAGCGATTCACAAAATGACTCAAATCTTTACTCCCATGGGTTCAGAATTCTGGTAGAGGAAACATGTGAACATGTCAGTGAACATGACACAGAGAGGTAAAATATATTATACTGCACCTTCCCCCCATTTGATAAAACTCAAAACTGGGCTGTATCTCTTGGTAGAATACACCTTCTTGAGGGCAGGGCTTCCCTCTCCTTCTCTAGGCATGCTTGCTGGTGCCGTCGATCCATGGGAACCAGGAGAATGCTGTGCTAGATGGATGGAGCAGGGGAGCAGGCACCACTGAGTAGGCAGCAGCTAACAGCCTTTATTTTATTTTCATTTTAAATTTTGAGACAAGGTCTCTCAAAGTTGCCCAGGCTAGATGAAACTTGCAAGACTCTCCTGCCTCAGCTTCCCTCAGTGCTGAGATCACACCTGGTATAACCAGCCCTTACCTATCTGTGATGCATGTCAAACACAAATATTCTTTCTAGTCATTCTCTTACACAAGTATAAGGATTGACAACACTCTACCCCACCACCTCTAAACTGAGAAACTATCTTGTGCAATGATGGTTCTAAGCTTTTGTCAAGATTTCCACTGGAAAGCAAAAATAACAGGGAAAGTGAGCCACTAAAGGAACTAGTTTTTAAAAATGGACTTTAAACCAATGAATTGAGCTGGGTGCTCCACTGTTGGGTTTTGTTTAGAAAAACAAAAATCGTTCTCTTTCATTCAAAACTTTGGATTATAATATTTTAATGATTCACAGAATTTTTATTTTGAATGCTGAGATTTGTGAAAGTCAGAAGTACAATCATATAATCCAGGTATGGTGTCAAATCCCTGTAATACCAGCCTCTTGGGGCAATGAGGAAGAAGGATCTAAAGTTGGAGGTTAACCTGGGCAACTTCAGTAAGATCCTGTCTTACTGAAAAAAAAAAAAATTTTTTTTTTTCCTGTGGTACTGGGGAATGAACCCAGTGATGCTCTACACTTGAGCTACATTCCCAGCACTTCTTATTTGAGATGGTCTTGCCAAGTTGCTCAGGCATTTCTGCTAAAATTTTAAGGTGCTGCACTTTGCTACTAAAGACTTCAAGAAGCTGACATCCTGTGCCCCTTCCATCTCAGAGCCCCATCCTCTAGAATGAGGTGAGGTGATGTGGGATGAGGTGAAGCCTGGGGAGAAGGGAGTGTGAGGATTGGGTAAGGTTATCTGCACACATTACTTGGCACTAAAGTGCTATGTACTTATTGGTTACTTTTTTTTAGACTGCAACGAATGCCCCCATGGAGAACATCTGACAGAAAATGTCAAGTGTCTCGTTTTAAAGCAGGGCACAATGCTAGGTGCACAGTATTTTTGGCAGTGCCCCTCCCAAGTATCCCAGGATTAAGACCTCAGCACTGAAAAACCATTCACCATAGTCTTATAATAGATGTTTCCTATAATTCCCCTTCCTAGATGAAAACAGGACACTTCCTCTAAGCACAGCATTCATCTACTCTTGCAACGGTTTATTTGTTTATCCATCTGTCTCACTTTTCATGAGACTGGTAAGCAAGAGACACAAAAGCAGGCAGCATGGTCCTGCCACTAGCGGTGGGGGTCAGAAGGTTTTACTGAGCATGGGTGCATGTCCATAGCTTTCAGGGCAGCGTGGCACAGCTGCTAACGAAGAGGCAGGAGCTGGAATCAGGAGCCAGGGCACAACGCGTGCATGCCATGAAGGAATCCGGGTTTTTCTGTGAAGGGCTCACTGGAAGACGACAGAAAGAGAACTGACACAGACGCATGTTCTCCTGTGATGCTCACCCATGGGTGCACTGGGGGCCGCTCTATAGGGAAGCCAAAACTGAATGCAGACAAACTAGTTGGAGGCAACTGCTTTAATCTCAGGGAGAAATGAAGAGATGAATCTAAACCATGCCAGGAGAAATGAGGGAGAATAGAGGACCTGTATGAGAACTATTCTATAAATAAATAAAAAACAGAGGGCTATTGATTGGCCTGTGAAGGTTTAAAGCCAGTCTTTCTCCCTGGCTTCCTGCTGTTAGTCTAGATGTCACTGGATAGGGCTCTACTGAGCACGGAAGAGAATGCAGAAGGCGTATCGATTATTTTGTCTTTAAGGAAGGCAAAAGAGGTGGATGGGTTCAATTTGAAACGCTGCATTTGAGAGCTGCAGGGAATCTGAGTGAGAGGTACCTCAGGCGGCTAACCAGACGGCGAGATGGAATCTAGGAAAGTCTCAGGATTATTCCAGAAGCATGTGCCTGGCAACCTGACTGCAAAATGAAAAGATACACTGATCTAGAAAAAAAAGACATTTTTGTTCAAAAATAAAGTGAACCTGGCAACACACAGTTGGGATTTCATAGCAAAATATGATGAACCGGCTGCCTGACACTTGGGGACAAGCGCATCCCAGCCTCCCACAGCAGGCCGAAACAAGACTCACGGGTTCTGCTCGCTGGCAGGGAGGCCAGGGGTACCCAGGCTGGGGACTAGGGTTCCCCTAGCAAATGGACGGGAGAGCTGGGCTCGCGCCCTCCAGCGGCAGTGGGGCGAGAGTCTCCAGCATCCCTGCCACCTAACAAAGCCCCGCAAAGGAAACCAATTCGTTACGGAAAAGCACTGCGACCCTGCGAAGGCAGGCGCCCTTTACCTGTCACGCCGGCCAAAGGGAATGTCACTTCTGACACCACGCAAGATCCCAGGCTCCACAGCCGGCAGTGGGTCCAGCTCTGGGCAGTCAGTCACACACCCCACAAACCACCGCGCGTCGCCGGGAGGTTAAAGCTCTGCTAGCAAGTAAGGGCTCCCACCACATGGGTGCGGGCGGCCGGCCGGCGGGAGCGACGCTCGAGGGGCGGGCGTGACGCTCGAGGGGCGGGTAGGGGCGGAGCCTGCTCCGGAGGCGGGGCCCGATGCTCTTTCGCCTTCGCTCTCGGAGCCGCCACGTAACGTCACGTAACGCCACGTCCCCGCGCATGCGTAGCGCGGTCTGGGGAGGCTGCTTCCGGGGAGAGTGGGGCAACCGGTTGGGCTTGCGGCCGGCGAGTGTAGCGCGCGGGCGTGGGAGCCAGGCCTTGCGGACGGAGGGGGCGTTGTCTTCTTTTCTGTCCCGGAGGGGCCGGTGAAGCCGGGAGCTGAACTGCAAAATGAACTTTCTTCGCGGGGTCATGGGCGGTCAGAGCGCCGGACCCCAGCACACGGAAGCCGAGACGGTGAGGGGAGCGGCGGGTGCGGGGAGCGCCGGCCCGGCCTGGGAAGGGTGGTGCGGGCCGCACAGTCTCCGCACCCGCGGCCGCCCGTGTCCCCGGCGCGCGTCTCGCCGCCCACGCCCCGCGTCGCGTGCCCCCCTCGATGGTGTACGGGCATAGGAAGAGCGCTGGAGGTTTAAAGCCCAGCTGTTGGCGACCGCAGCGGCCAAGAATAAAACTATCTCAGTGGGGCACGGAGCCACCTGCTCCCGTCCCGTCGCCGGCCACCCCCCGTGCAGTGAGTGCAGATTCCAGCTGTGGGCGCCCCCAATCCGTGTCACCCCGCGAGGACGCGCTGGATCGATGGGCTGGAGGTCTCCCGCTCAAACAAGGAGTGGGAGACACGATTTGCAGCGTCATTTAGAAAGAAAATTGTTAGTTAGCGAAAACAGTATCTGACAGTTGCGTAGGTATTAGGCTGCGGATCAACTTATTTGGAAGCTTGCTTAGTGTCTGTTGGAACTGTGTATGACTTTTCTTTTTTAAGAAACTTTTGTTGGGAATAATTTAAGTGATAAAAAGTGGCTGTGACACTTACAAGGTAAAACTCTGAGTTGTGCTCATGGACAGGTTCGTGTCTGGAACCCCGTCGGATAGTAGTAGGAGTTTTCGCTTGTCAGGCTCGTACTTCGTGCTAGATTCTGGGATTGACCTGTTTATACTCCACACTGACAGATGAAGAAATGAGATGCAGATAGGTGACGTAGCCTGTGTGTCAAGGTCTCTGCTCGGCCTCTGCGGAGGCATAAACTTCAAAGACTGAACAAATTGCTGATGTCCGGATTTTGTTTTATTTGAGAGTCTATATAACATTAAATTAATCTCATAAGTCTGAGTTAGAACTTAAGTCAGGCAAGGCCTGTGCTGCTGATCTAGACATCCAGCCTCGGTTAGAAGTGTTTAAAGCAGAAGTTGAAAGCTGGAGACTCAGTCCTTCCTTTGACAACCAAGAGAGATCCCCTAACTGGACATGCGCGCTTACACACACACACACACACACACACACACACACACCAAGAGAGATCCCCTAACTGGACATGCGCGCTTACACACACACCCCGAACACACACTAACTACACGCTGGCAGGCAGGCACACACACACACACACACACACACACCCCCTGAACACACATAACTACACGCTGGCAGGCAGACACAAACACACACACACACACACACCCTGAACACACATAACTACACGCTGGCAGGCAGGCAGAGTCATGATATGTGGCTGCATTTCTTCATTTCCTCATGGCAATGAGACAGCCACCTACCCTACTAGAAAACAGTGTTCTCTCCAGATTACCATAGTCACAGCCCTTATCTTCAGCTCTTGTTGATTTATTTTCTGTGGTATTTGGGCTTGAGACAAGTTGGGAATCTTGTGTCTTTTGTGTGTTCCTGGTTTGTAGTATACCTTAGTAGGGCTTGCTGTGCAGTTATTTGAATCCTAGCCCTCCACCTTGATTGAATCGGACATGTAAGAGATGGATAATACCCTAAGGAGAGTGAAGAAAACCCCTTCTTCTGAGAGTGCAGTGAGGATTAAGAGAAATGAGAATTGGAACCTGTCACTTGGTAGATGTTCATACAAGGTTGTTTTAACAGGTAAGTTAGAGGAAAAATACCATTTTTATTTCATAGGTGGTTTTGTTGAAGTGACTTTTGTAGAGTAGAGCTGAGTATGGTGACACACATCTGTAATCCCAACACTGGAGCCTGAGGCAGGAGGATGGTGAGTTGCAGGCCAGCCCAAGTTACATGGCACGACCCTGTTTCAAAATAAAACAACTCATGCAGTGTAGGATTTTAAAACTGGAAGACTCCTTTCCTTGTCATCCAAGTTGAGCCTCCTTATTTTACAAGAATAGATCACTGAAGCAACTTGTATAGCATTGCAGAGTTGGGACCAGAACACTGTTCTGTTCACTGTGAATGGAACAAAAATGTTTACATCATGATTTCAGAATGGTGTCTGAGTGTTACTTGTGTAAATTATGTATATAAGTTGAAAGGAAAGTGACAATCTATGTGCTTTGTCTGCCTTTGAGTGTGTACACTTAACTTGAAAAGTAATTTATCTTCTGAAGGCTCAGAGCTACAATATGAAGAAAACTTGTTTTGCCATCTCATTTTATTAGGATGTACAAGAAGGAATCCTAGGTCACTAATTTAGAAGTATTTACAGTGCACCAGAGGGGAATATAATATTAGGTTAGTTGTTTTAATTGATGATTTGATCTGGCAAGATACTTGACCTACCAGAGCTTGGAACCTCTGTCTTCTATATTACCATTTAGCTTTATGTGGCTTCCTCCTTTTTGCAAAGTAGAATCATTTACTATGGTTTTATATCTTTCTTACCTTTTCTGATCGAAGACCTCTTTGTCTGAATTCTACTTGTTTTTCAGATCCACCAGTGTCTTTTCAAAACTTCTTTGCTCCTTTCTCTCCCTTCCCTTCTTCTCTGCCTCTCCCCTTTTTCTTTCCTCTCTCTTCTAACCTCTCTCCTTTTCCTTCCCTTCCTGCTGAGGCCCAAACAAGGGCCTTGTGCAGGCCAATTTTAAGAGGATTGAGTGTTACCCATTTGAACCCCTCAACGATAAAATCCTAATGTCTTTGGATTTGAGAAGTAATTATAATCATGCTTGACCTGAGCTATCTTTGAGTGGAAAATATACAAATTCTTTATATATGTGCATTTACTGATGGTAAGTGCGATCAATACTCTTTGTTACTTTCTTACTTTTTCATGTATGCTGCCTTTGTCTACTGTGGATGTCATAGATAAACCAGACCTATTATTTTTATATCTCAGGCAGAGATGCTATAAACATCCTTTATATAAGAAAGTTAATTCAGCATGCATTTGAAACTTTTGTAGTGTTGTGTTTTGAGATGCTAACATCTGTGATTGCTGTTTATAGTCTTTCTCTTTCCAGCAGTGTGTGGGCTGGAGCCCAGGGCCTGGGTACATTGACAGCCTCTGTGAGGGTCCTGCGGCCCCTGCCCTAAGATGGTTGGTTCATTATGGTCCGCTGCTGCAGAGGACATTCTTGTGGAAAGCTGCTTCATTTCTGGGAGATGCACAGAGAATCAGTGAAGCAGTGTGTTGCCTTGGCTAGCCTATGTGTTGTAATGTAAATTGCACTCAAATCATTGATTCATCTGTAAATGTACTTTAGCTTGACTTTCTACTGTTCTGGGTCTTTTTTTAGATTTATGGTAATCTAGGTCATCTGAAGATGAGATTGACTGTTGCCCCCCCCCCCCCTTTTTTTTAAATCGGTACGGGGGATCAAACTCAGGACCGCCTGCTTGCAAGGCAGGTGCTTATGCCGCTGAGCTAAATCCCCAGCCCCTGACTGTTGTCTTTTTAAATAGAGTCTTCAGTTATAGAGTTAGTTTAAAACAAATTTCAGGCCCCTTTTTGTATTTTAAAAGTCATTTTTTATTATTTTAAAACATAAATTATTTTAATTCTAAAATAAAATTATACTTGGGGAATTTCTGTTCTTAGAAGGTACAGTTTTTTACTGAAAGCAAGATTATGTCATAAAACTAAGTTGGTGTTTAGCAATTATTTGTTGAATAACTGATTGAATAGCTGGAGTTTTAATTGCTATTACCTTTCATTTTTTCATGTTGATTAAGCAGTACTGAACACGAAAGAAAAAAAGACTTACTAGAAATTCTGAGAAAATAGTGCAGGCTATATTATGCTAGTGACCTTGAATTGTTTGTTTGATTGCTTGTTTTTTTGAGACAAGGCCTTGCTATGTAGTTCAGGCTGACCTCTGACTGAATAGCCCAAGCTGGCCTCAAATTTGCAGTGATCCTCTTGCCTCAGCCTATTAAGTGTTGGGATTACAAGTGTATTCCACCATGCTTGGCCTTGATCCCTTCTAGGCTACTTCTGCACCCACAACCAGAGTGGGCCTTCCCTTTATTCACAGAGTTATGCCAAACCAATCAGTGGGTTAATTTAGTAATCGCACATACTTAATCCAGCATCATACACTAGATCCATCTGCCTCTGCAAAGCCCCCTTCTTTGGCTGGCTGAGGCTTTGGGGAGGACATCTAGGTGCAGCCCGGAGCTTCCATATTTTCATTTGCTGGTCCCTCTCTCTACTTCCCTCTGGTCTCTACTGTGTGTCCATGAGGATGAATAAGGGACTGTTAGTGAGCAAATGTTTTTTTTTTTTTTTTTAATTTTAATTGACAGGTTATTAGATTCTGATTTTACTCAACTTCCCTGTTGCTAGTGGGATTATTTATCTTTTCAGTGTTGTAATTGATAAGTGGAGTTGAATCTCAAGTGACAGTTACAGGAATCCCCAGCTTCTGAATGAGTTCCATTCTGGGAGGTGAGTTTGTGCCCTTAGTATCCAGCAAAGTGAGTCTCACACCATACACATGTGAAGTTCTGGCTCCAGTGTTGGTAAGTTGAATTTTACTATATTAAAACAAGGAATACTCGCCCATGACCTCCTATGTGAGCTCCGTGATGCTTCACATCTTTTCTTTGGGCTTTTCTGTGCTTTGTTATACGAAGTGGCAGGTGAAACCAGTAAAGTTTGATTCCTTTTTGACTACCATCTCCAGCTTTAGTTCTTTTCAGAATAATATTATTATTAATTTGGCATAAATCCTTCCACATGTGGAATTACATGTTTGTATATTTACCTAAATAATACACAGCTTCACAGCTAACCTTTTTTGTTGATTAATATGCCTTGGAGACCTATTTTGTTTTATGATGTGACTTGTTGTGTAAGCTAGTCTTGAACTTGTGACAGGCTTGCCTCAAACTTGTGGTCCTCCTGCCTCAGCCTCCTGAGTGCTGGGCTTACAGGCATGTGCCATCTTGCCCAGCTTGGAGGTCTTTTTATGTTAAACATAGAGCTGCAGATACCGGGTTTTGGATGCTGGAGGCTCCTGGAGGTGGTTTCTAGGTTCTT